AATGAAAGAAATTAGGAGAGTAAGTACTCGGAGGAGGGCTTTCTCTGTGGTGGCACCCAACCTATGGAATTCACTCCCCAAAGAGGTCCGCCTGGCACCGTCGTTACTGGTTTTTCGGCGCCCGGTAAAGACCTTTTTATTTAAACATCATTTTAATTGTTAAAATATATGATCTGGCCAGGGCAACTTCTTCTTCCTTCTCTTTTCTCTTCCTATATTATTTATTTACTTATTTTAAACTGATAATTTTAATTTTATATTATTATGTTTGTAACTCAATGTATTTTTTGTATTTTTGTATTTAATGGTAATTTATTATGTTCTATTGTATTTCAATGTATTTTATTGTGTTGTAAGCCGCCCCGAGGCTCCGGCAAGGGGTGGCATAGAAATGTTATTATAATAATAATAATAATAATAATCATAATCTGCCTTTGTGATGGCAAGTAGGCAACATGCCAATCTTCCTGCCTGGTGCAAACACTGTGATTAATACATGCTGTTAGAAACTCTTGTACAGCGAGTAGGGGTGGAGTCAGTGGGTGTGCTCAGTACCGATGCCATGGGGAAATGTAGCTGGGAGGTCCTGGAAGCCAAATTTAGGTTGCGAGGCTGAAATCCAGGTCCACCAAAGTGGCTTTCTTGCAACTGCTACCTGTTCCAAGCTTAGGCCCAGCTAGATAGATGTAGCAGTCATGGAAGGGATCCACATAGGCTAAATGGAACCACATTGCTTAGCAGAGCAACTCTAAAGTGAACCCTGGAGGAAAGCTGACTGGAGCTGGGAAGCATCTGGTTCAGGTTAAAAACATACCTAGGGGGTGAATAGGAAAAATATTCTGGTAGTCCAAATATAGGAGAGGAAGAAATACGCCACAAGCTGACAGTGAGACATGATAACCAGCTGAAGAGGCCAAAGTACAATAGCCTAAATTGTATACATCTGGAGAGGGATACTGTGTTTAGGTGTTCCTAGAAGAAGCCACGCAGAACCCTGAGAGGTCAAATAAGATTGCTGGAGTTCCTGGTCTCAAAGGAGAAACCAGATACAGTGAGCATTACAGAAACCAATTGGAGAGAACCAATGGGACACAGGCATCTCTGTATAGGAAAGCCAAGTAAGGGTGCATTGCTTCAGTGCAAACTGAAAACCCATAATGAGTGCTTCTGCAGTTTAGTGTAGAATCATTGACCATGCCCTACACATTTTGGAGACATGTACAGAGTTGTGCTGAGTCAGCAGGGTGGGCCAAGAAAAAAATCACTAGGATTCTTTCACCAGTCTAGAAATCTTTGAAGTTAATTCATCCTCAGGTCCAATTCCAAACTTCTTCTGTGAACACTGAAATCACCGAGTTTCAAGCTTGTCATGCACGGGACTGCTCAAGCCATGTTCCCATACATCAGTTGGTCCCAAAGTCTTTTCTAGCAAAAGGAAAATGTGCAGCTGTGGATGAGATCACAGGTTCCCTTTTTCTAAAAGGATCAGTGACCTGGCCTGTTGGACTTCATCAACAGGGGTCAGTTTTAGCATATGACAAAGAGGACCATACTGTGACCACTAGTTTTGGACCAATCTTGAGCCATCTTCTCTTTTATCCCTCTTCATCAATGAAAAATGTGGCATTTATCACTTCTGCCATTTATTTATTTATTTATTTATTTATTAAAACATTTTTATGCCGCCCCATTCGCCGAAGCCTCGGGGCGGCTTACCACAAATAAGTTAAATAACATTTTAAAATATATACATTAAAATAAATTATAAATATACAATATAAAATAAGCCGCCCTGGCCAGAAAAATTCAATAATATTAACATTTAAAATGCTGCTTGAATAAAAAGGTCTTCGCCTGGCGCCAAAAAACAAATAACGATGGCGCCAGGCGGACCTCTCTGGGGAGCGCATTCCATAGATTGGGCGCCACCACAGAGAAAGCCCTCCTCCAAGTACCTACCCTCCTAATTTCTTTCACAGAGGGCTCCCGGAGAAGGGCCTCTCCCGCCGATCTCAGGGGGCGGCTGGGCATATATGGATGTAAGCACTCCTTCAGGTAACCAGGACCCAAGCCGTTTAGGGCTTTATAGGTCATCACCAACACCTTGACTTGGGCCCGGACTTCAATGGGAAGCCAGTTCTGTTCTATCTCATTATGGTTCTATCTCAGCTTGTGTTGTTCAACCAATGAAAGGATATATTAAAGAAATTTACAAGGCATCCTTCAGCATCCTTCTGAGAACCATGTACAGTTGCAGATATAAAGCACTGCCAATTTTAAAATTCAACAAGTGCAAAATACAGAAACAACAACATTCCTCTAACAAACCAGGCAGAACCATTAAAAACACCACACTAGTATTTTACACGTGCTGACCCCAAAGACAAGAGAGGTTCTGTTTCAGCCTTTCAGTTTTAGTCAGCTTCACATTCTCTGTACAAGAATTGGTATGACTGGTAACTTTTGTTTGGTAAACAACAACTGAGTTACTGTTGATAAAGCCTTAAAATACTATTGTTTCATTTCACCAGCCAACCTTTTAGTTTAGCTGTCTTGAGCTATTTATCTTTAGAGTGGTGGAGAAAGTTACAAATTACAGACAAGCGTGCGTGCGTGTGTGCGTGTACCTGCATGGTAATGTAAATACTAAATACTAACTCTATTACTATAGCTTAAGATTTCATAGACCAGCAGTCCACTTCATCAGATCAATAAAGATTTATTTATTTATAATATGTATATACCATCCTTAATCCATATAGAATCTCAGGATGATTTGCAAAAAAACAAAAGTGGAATCTAGGGTTACAGGCACATATACATATGGCAGTGGTGGTGCTTGTGAGATCGTACACAGTGGGGTTAGAGGGAAATGAAATTCCCAATCCCCCCACCCAGTGTAAACTCTGACACATGCAGCCTGTGGGGAAGGGGGGCGTGGCACAGGGAGAGAACTCAAGTTTGGTATGCAGCCCTGGCCAAGATCAACATCCTGCCTGAAACCTGGGAGCCACTCCTGCGAACAGACCGTGGCGTGACTCATCGAAGGCTGCTCCCTATGCTCCTGTAACACACCCCGACATCTCACGCATCGGGTACAACGTAGCCCCGCAGCACACTTGCTAGCCCTTAGGATGTCAGCAGCCCGCCTGTTGCTCTTGCCGCGAGTCCAGCGGCGCTCACTCCCAAGGGGAAACCGCACACACGTGCGCGCGCGTGTCCGTGGGTGCGGAGAGGGTGAACGAAAGAGCGCGGCCCAAAGAAGCCCCACCCGGGCCCCGCGGCCCACCCTTCGCCCCTCGCCCTAACCTCCTCTCAGGACGAACAGATCCGTCTGCTTGTCGGAGTTGAAGTCCCCAAAGGCGGCCAGCGTCCCGAAGGCCTGCGCCCCGAAGAGCTGCGAGGTGACATTCTGCAGGGCCCGGCCCGGCCGAATCACCGCCGCCGGCAGGAGGACGAACAGGAGCAGGCGCCCGCAGCATCCTCCCGGCGGGTGGCCCGATCGGCTCCTCATCGCGGGGCGGGGGCGGCGGCGGCGGCGGCGGCGGCGGCACCAGCAGCAGCGCGAGTCGTGGCCGTGGCCGCGGCCACCATCCCTCGCGGCCGCCCTCGGAACCGAACGGAACGGGCGGCAGCGCCCCTGCGTCTCACAATGGCCCGCTTCCGGGTTCGCTTTGCGGCAGCGCCGCGCTCGCGCCCTCTCCCGTCGGCCTTTACGGCCGGGCCTGGCGACCGGGCCCTGACGTCAGAGCGGAGCCGGGGCTGCCTTCGCCTCGGCAGCCATGGCGTCCACTCTGGCCGACGTGAGCTGGAAAGTGCTGGAGCTGAGGGCGCGCTCCAGGCGTTCAGGTCTGACCTCCCCTCTGCCCTCTGCCCCCGGCCCCCTCTCCCGCCGCCGCGCTTGAGCCGAGGCCGCGAGGGGAGCGCCGCCGCCGCGCTTCCCCCCCTCCCCCTTCGCCGGGGGCGCCTGCCCCGCCGCCTTGTCCCCGGGGCCTTTCCCAGCAGAGGGGCGCCCGCTGGGCATCCTGGCGGGGTCCAGACGACGCGCCGACCCGCGCTCGACGGCCGACGTGGGTTGTTGGCACGTGGGTGGTCGGTCGCGCTGCCCGGACCCAGCCACGACCTGATCTTCCCGCGCTCTTCTCCATGCACGAGCCGGTTTCTCGACTTCGCTCTTCGTGTCCTCTTCCGTAGGCCCTCCTTTCACCTGCTCTCGGTTTCCCAGATCCGTTAACAACCTTTCACTGTCTTGGCCTGCAGCTATTTTTGTCTTGCTTGATTCACGGCTTTGCAAAGCATTTGAAAAGGCGGCAACAGCAGCTCTGGCTGACACTGAAGATGCAAACTCTGCTTATTCATGTTTCTTCCCATGACTCTGATATAAATATCACTATTAAAAGTCTTGAGAGAGAGAATGCAGAGGCCCATGTTGAGTCTGTGTAACTGATACAGTCCCCTGCTTGTACGTGTTCAACCACATCTTGCTTTAGTTCTGTGGAAGTTTCTTGCCTTACAGCAGAAGTGACAACTTGTGGACTTCCAGATGTTTTTGGCCCGCAACTTCCGTCAGCTGTAGCCACCACAGCTACCTCTGATTATGGGAACTGCAGGCCAAAACATAGGGAGGGCTACAAGTTGCCTTTTCCTCTTACAGGAACACATCAAAGTCAGGTGTCCAATTTGTACTTTTTTCCTATCAATATCATTCATGTTCAGTGATGGTCCCTACTACTTCCTTAGGCCGATAAGTACAATGATTTTTTTGCTTGAGTTTTGAAAACAACTTCTCTAGTGATAGATGACTGCGATATATTTGATTCAATTGGATACATAAATTTCAAATCACTTTCCAAAGTCCTTTTGAGCACACTGTAAACAACAAGAGCCAACATGTATCATTGTGTTAGACAAACTAGTAAATAGTAAAGTTCTTAAACAGCAGGCCTGGTATAACCTTGAACAATTATTAGGCTTCCCTTAAAGCATCAAATGTGTAGTGCTGTGCAACACACTTCACTTGAGGATTTGATTTATCTGCCTAATAAATTGAGATGATTGTATCGAAGAGGTTACAAGAGGCTCTGTAAACAGCCAGTGTTAAAGCAAAAATAAGCAATAAGGTTATTGCAATATTGCTTCTGCTTTCCTTCGTATATTGCATTTGACCTGTGGAGCTTGGTTTAAATGCTGAGACTTCTTAGATCAAACTGGATTAAGAAAATGTTTAGAAATACAAAGTGCTTGAACAGTACATACTCTAACCAATTTTCATATGATATGCACGTTTGTGAGCTTTATAGTGTGAATTTTGACTAGGTGAATCCTGATTTCTGCTAATCATTGATGCAGGCCTCACTTGCCTTAAAAATGCACCATTTAACTGCACAACTACATTTGTGATATTTTGAGGGCAAGCATTCTGTCACCCTCAGCCACCTATGTGGAGATGTTCACTGTCTCAGTACAAACCATCACTTTTCACATTTACAAAGCTTGATGATAAATTCTTCATTCTAACTGTCCCGACAGTTTTGGATATTGGGTAGTATAGAAATATCATAAATAAGAGCACACTCCAACAAAAAGGAGTCCTACAAACTCTGAGCATTCCCTAGCCAACCTTTTCTGTCTATTTTTCACATGCAAAAACCAGAGGAATTGCTTATTTTTATATTTATGGCACTGTGACCTGTTCAAGTGAATTTATCTTGAGCTACTTATCAGCATTAATTTTTCTCAGAAATGAGCTGGAAGTAATCATAAGGTTGTAGACATCTTTTTGGAGCTTAAATGTGTTATTGGAAATGAATGTGTTAGGGCTAAGGTATGGTTGAGATACATGGTGGAGGTAACATATAGGAGCTAAACATCTATAAAAATCTGCTGAACAAAGACAAAAACCTATTGGTGGATTTTGTAATGAGCATTCTGAGAACCACATAAAAGTACTATGTTGAAAGAAAGTGATTGCTTATACTATTTTGGCTTAGAACAATTACATGGTTCATTAAGCAAAGAATAAAATGCCTTTCAATTGGATCTTGAATTTATTTCATCATAGCAGAGGATTTCCCCCTGTCCCTCCCTTCTTTGTTGTAAATATTCAATATTATCTGGTATAAAAAGAAATGTTAATGTCAAATAACATCCTTGTTATAGAACAGTAAGCAGGCATTATGTAAATGTAGGTAATGGGACTTCAGCCAGTGAGATTTATTGAACATTATGGTATAGGAAAATCAGGTTTTCTGTACAGGGGGAGAACATAACACGTAATGTATCTAATTATCCTCTTTATTGTGCATGCATCATGTTATAACTCTGCTAACACTGCTTTGGCTTAATTTAAACCCGATTGCCTCTAACCCTCACTAAACATTTTCAAAAATTGCTGTAGTTTAGCCTGAGACGTTTGTGACTAGCTACAGCCGCTTGAAATGGCCAGTCTGGATGCTGAGAGAACCGCCACTGCTCGTGCTTTTTCGTGGTTGGGTAAGTGTGCTGACCTCTCCTGGGTCACTTGTTTTGTTCATAGGATTTGTGCATGTGAGCGCCTCTCAGAGAAATGTGACCGCTTGTCAATAAATACCTTTCGATTGGGATTAAGTATAAAGGTTTTGAATTGTTTGCATGATGAGGAATATAATGTCTACGGTGCTCACCAGTGGTGAAGCAGTATCACAGTTTGAGCTACCTGGGAGCATTTTTCATTGTTTGGAATCTGGTCAGATGCTATGATGCTGATGCTGCTTTTTCATACTGTCAGTATAAGCAGCAATGATGGGGAGACCCTGGGCCTACCAGAGTACCGTGTGGCAAGAAGGAGTGCCACATAAGCTGCCCTACAGCCAGTGGTTAAAGCAGTTTCAGAACTTCCTGTTTAGAAGCCATACACCTGTGGGTGCCAAAGTTTTTTCATCCCGAGCTCCAAATTCCGCTTTGGGGAAAAATCTACCCTGTTTCATTGTTTTTTGTTTCTAGCAGGAAGCCCATCTAATCAAAAGTAAGCTTGAGCAGCATGTCATCTCTAGGAAAGATTTTCTTGTCTACTCCGAAGCAAGCAGAATAAGGTTCAGAGCAGATGGTACTGAAGAATCAGCAGCTTCCTCCCCTCCAACCCTGCAAGGAAAAGCTCTTCTCTCCAATCAGGAGCTAATCAATGGTGTTTCCCCTTGCTAAGCATTATGAATGGGAGTGGGAAAAATAACTGAATTCTAACCAGGTGATCAGAGAAAAGAGCTTTTCCTTCTCTGGCTCAGGGAATGGGTCCAGAGGAAGAAACTCTCAAGACCTGTGGGCATCTTAGATGCACCTGCTGGAGGCTTTCCACCCCTTCCGTGGTGGGATGTCCCAGGTTTTTAATTAAGTGTTGGGAGCTGTTGTTACTGCTCTGACCATTTATGGCTGTGGTGGCAGATGCTGTACAGTTCCCTGTCCATGTGGTATTCAGAAGCCAAGGTTTGGCATTACGTGCCTGGAATGCATTCGGTGATGTCTGAGCAGATTTGTGAATCTTTTCCTTAACAATGGTAAGGCAACCTGGCAAAGGACTGATGCTTGGTATATTTAAATGTACTTTCATAAATAAGAAAGTTTGATACATCATCCTTCTTGGCATGCCCAATCAATTTTCATTTTCAAAATAAGGAAGGGAAATGAATATGTCTAAAAATTCAGTAGCAAGAATACCATCTGCAGTAGCAAGAGTTGGATCCAGTGACCTTCAAGTCCTCCTCTAACTGTATGATTCTCTTTCTGTATCTCTATCTCTATTTCAGTAAAAAGCACAGGGTCACTTTGGAAGCTCCTGGCAAGTCAGAAGTATCTGGTGGTGTTGGGCTAATAGTTACGGAAATTAGTGCACAGCTGTTACAGCATTGTCTGAGCTTTTATGAAAAACTGTAAACAGGCAAACAGGCATGGCAATGTGTATTTCTACAGTATGGCCTAGCTCTCTCTTATTTATGTGGGCACATTATACCAGCAGCCTAAATTCTTAATCTGTGAAACTTGGAAAGGTGGCATAACCAGCAATATGGTGACTTTCATGCCCTTTTTCATCTTTGCCTTCCTTGCTGGAAGTGATCCTGCTTGAGCAGACCAAAGGTCCAGCACTGTGTTCCCTGCAGTGGCCAGCAAGGTGCTTTTGGGAAGGCATGAAGGCTTCTCCTGCCCCCCCAGTAGTTGGTATTCAGTGGTACAGTGTCTCACTGTCATGGCCAACAGCCACGGACAAACTTGTCCTCCGTTAATTTGTCCACTTAAGCACAGCCCTCACAGGCTGAATCCAGATCTTCTTTCAGATTGTTTTCCCAGTAAAATATAAAAAATAGGTAGCTCTGATTTAATTTAGGCACATGTAATACCTCTTTCTCAGATTTTTGAATCATCAGTGAACACTGAAAAATATTTGCAATTAGAAACAAACAAGCTTTGAAAACTTGCTTTGTCTTTATTATGTGTTATCAGCAGCAGAATTGAAAATAAGGAGAACCAGCTTTCTGGGGAGAAACTGTTCCCGGGTGAACAGATCCTAGCTGCACTCTAGATATAGCTTTCACTTTCATTCTCAGAAGCATCTGTTGCAGGTCTAGCTGTTACTGCATTTTTCTATTTCCCATTTAGACAATGCTGATGTTGGGTAGTTTCATGATAATTACACCCTGTTTCCGAGTCTCAGTCCTCAGTGTGTACTGTGAGGATGATAATACTGACATAACTTGTAAGGTTGTATGTAGTGCTTGCAACATGAAAGTGTGAAGTGGTTTAAAGTTTTTTTTACTTGTGCATTCCTTAATATGTTTAACCAGAAGTAAGATCTAATGAACTTAATGGAGCTTCCAGATAAGTGGGTGTAGGGTTGCAGTCTAGCTATGAGTCTTTTTTCTGATTTAATTGGCATGCATGTATTTAATGTAGTTAATTAAATACTTTTGTATTTAATTATGTAGGTTTAAATTGCATACATTTTAGGTATAGACTAGGAACTGATTAGACTTTAGGCAGTTCCTGTCTGAAGAGGCCTACCTGCCTCAGCTCAGCTCAGCTCAGCTCAGCTCAGCTCAGCTCAGCTCAGCTCAAAGGCCTGTCCATCTCAGCTAGTTCTAATAGCAAGCCACAGTATTTTAGCTTGTTCTTTCCTGTTTTAGCAGCATCACATCTTTTAAGCCCCAACTACTGTTACATTCATCATCTCCTGAAGAACAATTTCCAACACCCTTATGGGATGAGTATCCTCAACTGCATTGTGAATAAAGTGCACAGCCCCCCCTTTTGTTCCTTCTGACATCACTTACAGCGGTCTGGTCGCTTTCATTTCCACCGTACCCTCCAGCAGCATGCGCGCACCTCCTCTTCTGTCATGTCCCAGCTGGAGCAAGGGCGCTAGCAGTCATTGAGACATATGCGCCAGCCCAGGAGCTTAATAAGATGATAAAAGGTTACCTATCTGCTCTTGCCCTCTGCTATACCTGTTAGCCCCCAAAGGTTTATTCTGCTATAGTGACTCTTCTCCATGCCATCATGTCTTAACAAACTTCCATCCCTCTACACTTTGCTGAGACAGCCTCATCCCAGCACTATGTATGCAGAGCTAATCTGGTGCTAGGAGCATGGAAGGCAAATGGTTAACATTTTTCTGGTGTGTTCTTTCTGTCATTTAGGCACGAATGTCTGCACAGGCAATATAAAAGACTGTACAAGACGGTTGAGCATCACTGATGCTGCATAAATGACTAGGATCTATAGAGACTGAACACTGAATTCAGTGCCTTGATGGTTGCCGGATTAAAATGCAAAGTATCCCATGCCAATGCTTAACTACTTCCTAATGTAAAATAATATTTCTAGAATGTGGTAACTACTGATCCAGCTGGTCTTCCTCTGATATAGAACTGTTTCTAAAAGAATGTGATTTTTAAAAACTCACTGCCTGTTGGGGAAAAAAAACAACAACACGGACAGCAGCCTATCAAGAAAACAGATTTTAGCATATTTTATGTTAGCTAATTTGGGAATGTTTAGTTACATTTTTAAAAATAGTTTTTTTCATGACACAATAACAGTTGGAAAGGAGTGGGTGGAATGCATACAGTTCTTTGTAGCAAAACACTGTTTTTTTCATTATACTCATTCCTTTGTTTATCATCAAGATATGCATAAATATCTTTTATAGCTTATCTTTTTCTGCTTGATTTTGCAGTGAAGCCATCATCCTGTGTTTATAACATGCATTTGTTGCTATGGAATAGATTGCAATACTGATTAAACATAATTTTAATACAGGATTAGTTAAGCAGAGCTGTTTGAAGGCAGCGACATATTTTGTCCATTTAGAATTCTTTCGAACAAAATGAGTCTCCCAGAAATCATGCGACACAAGAGAAGTGGATTTGTGTTCTGCTGGTCTGACGGATATAATTGGTTTTCACATCTGGTTACTTATGAAAAGATACAGTTTGCCATTCATATGTATGCCATTTTTAAATTCAAATATTGTTCCTGTTTACTTCTTAGTTTGCAAGTCATTAGGAAACCAAATCTCTTATTTTGAAATTAGCTTACTCACTTGCTTTAACCTTGGATTTGTTTACATGATCCAGAGAGGAATCTGAGCTTGAACTAGCTTTAAAGGATCATTAATTTTAATGGCACCTTTGGCTAGTTAGCACTGCAAATGGTACTAGGCACAGTATCTTCAAAGGACCAGTAATTCACAATTCCGTGTCATGAACAGAGGGCTCGTCACATAGTCAAGCAGAAAGAGTAGTTCAGCTATGAAATTTATTTCTGCATTTAAGGCAGTGCAATAACAAAGGGTGTGATTACACAGTCGTGGGGCTCACAGCATGTCAGAATGTGAACTCCGGGAGATTAGCTGGTGCTTGTAGCCCAGTGACTGTTAGGAGTGACTGACAGACAGTTGTCAGAGAGGAGTCAGGAACTCACATCTGGTCCAACTAGAGAAGTTATTCCAGAAGTCCCAGGTGAAGGACAAAGCTGAAACATAGTAGATCCAAGCAGATGAGCTTCGCTTAAGCAAAGTCCTGACCCAAGCAATTCCCATTTCTAGTTGCTCCTGTCTCAGAAGGTCTCAAGGTCAGTGTGTATGGGCAGGGTGGTCTGGAGCCTCAGGACACGTCACTGCCCAGGAAAATGCTCCAAGCTGCAACTCTGGTGGTTTGTCACATTCCGTTGGGCAGCTGCAAACTCAGCCCAGGGTTCCTGGCCCTCACCCCTGCGCCTCCGGACACAGGCTAACACCTTCGGCATCCTGGACTGGTTAAATTAAGGCATCCAAAGTGGTAGTAAATATAAAACCATCATTGGGTGACGCTTTTGCTGCATTCACACATGTGCGCTCAAGCAGAAAGTAGCATGGAGGGGGACTAAACCAGAATTGGCTGCTTTTACAGATTCCTGGCTTGTGGTACACTGTCAGCTGGGATTTGTGGCTTAAAATAAAAGCTGTTTCCTTCAATGTATCAGCAGAGCAAACCAGGGTTTGTAGTTGACTTGCTTAGCAATTAGAGTGCTAAGTGGTTTGCATGTGACAAGAAGCGAGGGATCTGCTAAAGTGACATGGACTTTTAGCTCACTCTTCCTCCTGACTGGGCAGGAACCAAAGGGAGACGGAAGCTCGTGAACCTGAGAGTTTGCCTGGGCTCCTTTCTGTGGTGGTGGTGAACTGTAGGGTTCATGGAGCCAGTATAGCTTCGTAGTTAAGAGTGTTGGAATGGGATCCAGGAGGTCCCAGTTCTAGTCCCCACTCAGCCACAAAACACTGGGTGACCTCAGTTCAGTCATCAACTCTTGACCTCCCTCCCTCACCTGGTTGTTGTGAGGATAAGACTAGAGGATGAGGAGAATTATGCCAGCTGTCTTAAGTTGCTTGAAGGAAAAGGGTCTGATGTTGATACCTAAATACATTACAAACCCTTCCAATGTTTTTGTGAAGTTATGTCCTGTCCTAAAGAAAGTCATTTTGCCTCCTGCATTTAAAGGAAATTGTTGAAGGCTGTAAACAGTCATCCTTCCACTTGTAAGAATAAAGGGGTTTGTTGTTTGTTTGTTTTGTTTTTGGGTACCAGAGCTAAAATAGCCCAGCATTGGCTCTTCCACTGAAGTGCTTTCTCTGCATCTTTTCCTTTTTACTCTTAACAGGATCTTCATACTGAATTAATACAGGAAAGTTTACACTTCATGCAGAACTGGAGGTGTGAGAAGTCATACCTGGGAGTAGGTGGCGTTATATGAAACCATATAATTTTGTTGATAGTGGTTTCTTTCCCAGCCTGCCATATATATTCCCACAATTTCCAACATCTGCCATGAAGACCCGTAATTCAGTGTAAGCTGTGCACTAGTGTTGTGTATATTAAAGGAATTGGATGTATACCATGAGCACACAAAGTCTGCTTTGCCTGCCTGAAAATTTGCTATCCTTAATTTAAAAAGAGGCATTGATTTGATTCTAACAACAGATGTTTTATTTCTTTGTTGGCTGCAGATGGCAGTTTTCCTGGTAAGTGCAAATTTTGCAAGGCCAACATATCTTTTGGTGATCTGTTACACTGTGTCATGCATAGACTGTCTTGCATTAGAATTGTTTATTAGGTTGTCTGCCAGTGCCATTCTTTGGAAATGGAGCAACACTTTTCACGTCAGAAAGTACTGTCAATGTTGTATTACAAGTCTTATTAAAGTCTCGTGCGGTTGCTGCTTTTATTTAGAATTAGTACAGTTGTTATTTCAAACATTATGAGCAGTTACTACCATCTGTAAAAGGCACTTTATGATTAGACCATCCTGCCTTCATGAGTTTATCCTGGTGGCTTCCGCACTGAAACATTGCCAAGAAATCCCACAACTCCTGTTGCAGGTTCATAAAGATGATTCAGCATTAATACCGCTTACCTGGCAAGGCAATTTACTTGTCACACTTCCCCTAATCACATTAAATGTGCATTTAGAAGCAAGCAGTTGGTTTTCAAATAAATTTGGGACAGGTTGGCTTACAGTTAGTGACATAAAATGTTGCATTTGATGGCTATTCTTCTTCGAAATAAGATATTTCATCAGTGTTTTTCTGATTATGCAACTTGACTGCCCAGAGCTTGTTTCAGGAATGTTCTAAGGGACATGGAGGGCTAATTCTGTTCATGTTTTCATTGATACACCATTAAGGCTTACTTAGGAATAATGATTGTGCCCAACAAAATGGGAAGAGGTAAGAAACTTGCTTGAATGTTAATTGGAGATTCATTATAGGTATTTAGTGCACTTCTGAAACCTAGAACGAAACTAATTAGTCTTGTTCTCCAAAACTGCTTTTGCATTTTGAACCATTGCTGCAAGATGCAGTGTCTTCAACAGAATCTCCCTTTTTTGATCTTTTAACCCAGTTGTGAGGCGTCTGTGTTTTGCTCGGCTGAGTGGTGATAGTGGGGGACGGGACAGGATAGGAGAGTGTCTCTCCAGTTAGTAGGGAGCTTCAAGTTATGCAAGAATATGTTGAGTTGAAAAAGCCCCCACCCCTTTCAAAGCATGGAAGGACTGCTTATGTGTACTGTTCTCATGGATCAATGGCACCAAAAAGCAGTGAACAAACATGAACCCAAACTGGGATATAAGAAGAAACCACAGAGTCAGGCAAGTCAGTGAGAGGAGACTAGCAATGGCTCTCCAGAGTTTCAGGCATGATTCTTTCCAAGCCCTGCTTGGAGGTGGAAGCTGGGATTTTCTGCATTCAAAGCATGCGCTCTGCCAGAGAGCCACAGCCCCTCCCGTGCAAGCAAAGAAATCTGTAAAGAGAACTTGTACAGAAAAATTCTGCCAAGAAAAAACTTGCTGAGACTTGGCTACTGCTGGAAGTGAGTCCAGGCGAAAGCAAATAAAGTGCAATACATTTGTACTGTATATGCAATGGAATCAGGAAACAAGCTCAGACGCACTTTAAGGTAATGTTCCAAGGGCAAACAATACAATTCTCTTCATAAATGGAGGAATCAGCAAGGAGTCATCCATTTAGATCCATCAGAGACTTGAGAGTACAGGACTAATTCCCATGGTAGCCTCTTGATGCAGGGTTACTTTGGCTCATTATGAACTGAATCCTTGCAGCTTTGAAGCTTAAACTGTGCCTTGATTTTGGTTTCCAATTCCATTTCATATATAATAATACATTTTATTTATGTAGCTAGGTTACATGGAATATTGGACAATGCTTTCCTTAGCAGGTGGCCATGCTTGTATCAATTGCCCCGGTTTTATTTTGCTAAGTTTATTTGTTCAATAATACAGATTCATGTCCCGATGCAGCTTTATGGAATGTGTTTTGCAGCTCATTTCCTACAGCACATCTTCCTTTGTTAGTATGCAGGACTGTTCTTTATATATGTTGACTGCTAAACTGGTATTAGAATTAGTTTTAATTAGAATTATTTGCTTTCATATTAAATATGTTGCAGAATGTATTAGTATGCAGAGTATTGGCTAGTTTTCCTATGAATCAGAGGGATTCCTGTCTCTCTTTTCACCAAAATCAACATGTTAAATATAGTTTTCTCTACCATCCATTCTTTTTGACCTCAAACATGGCAATTTTATTAAATGTCTACCAAGTAGAATAGCAACTGAATATCTTTAAAAAGGAATATCTGTTGCAGTTAGTGTAGTTGTGCTACATTATAACTTTCTGTAAATAGCAGTTTTGCTTACCCAAATAATTTGATTATTCTCTCTGGTAACATCTGATTACAGAAGAAACATGCTGTAAACTACTAAATGGTTATAGGTTGCATTTTGAAAACATGGTAACAGCCCTGATTGCTGCTATAAATCCCCCATTCTTCTGAGATAAGCTATTTCACATCTGAGAATAGGGGACTCCCACATACCCTTCTGTTTCATTGTTGTTTAGCTTAGCTTACTTCTACTTGAAGCAATAGCTGTTATGAGAAACTAAGCTATTTGAATGTTGGAAATAAACATGCTGTTTTCAGATATAAAGGTATCTTGGCATTTTTGTGCACTAAATTTCAGTTTTCTTTCTGCTGTGGAATTGTCTTCATTATATGTATATCTCTGGAGTGAGTGAGCACCGAGCCTTTTCTGGATTTTTTTTTTTTTTTTGGCAAAGTGCTGTATTCATCTTTGGGCCTGCTTCAGGGACCCTCCTTTACCATTGGATGGGGCCTTCCCAACTGTGGTGCCCATGGTCGGGAACAGCCTCCCAAGGGACACTCGCCTGGCCCCTCTGCCGCATGACAAACACTTTACGCAGAGAATTATCATTCCTATTTTAAGTTATGCTCTGACAGCCTTATTAAAGATTGTGATTGAAGAAGGGCATTCTTGCTGTCTTTATGAGGACTGCAATTTTAATTTTATTTATTATTTAATTTAATTTTATTGCTGTTGTAATCAAGACCTCAACACTTTTTCTTTAGGTTCTGTGTATGAACCCCTTAAAAGCATTAATCTTCCAAGACCAGATGGAGAGAGCATATGGGATAAGCTGGATCATTACTACCGCATAGGTAAGTCAAACAAGACACATTGTTCTGGTAGTAATCTGCCTGCCTTTCTACCTGCCTGCCTGTCCTGAGGGAGAGAGGTTTTGTTAATGTAATTACTTAAACAGTTCTTAAAATCACTTTTGGGTGTCAGCCTGTAAGGCTATCAATCTATTGAAAACTCAGGCTGATCGTTTAAACTTCCAAATAGTTTGTGTATTAGATACAGGACTGACTGCCTCCTTTTGTATATTTCTGTCTGTGTTCAGACCAATGTCATAGGCCCTGCTCTGGATTTTTTAACTAGCTGCCCATGTGGTAGGCGAGTGTAAGAAACTTGGCCTTCTCGGTCATGGTACCAGCACTTCCCCTGGGAATCGTCCTGGCCCTTCTTAATTTTTACTGCTCCTTCTTGTTGAGACTGTTTAAGGAGGCTTTGATGCAACTCTAACCTAGCTTTGGTTTTCTGTCTCTGCTGTTGCTGGGGAGGGTTAAACACATTTTTAGCTGACCTTTTATGCTTCTTTTTGAAAATCTGAGTGCTTCTTGATTGTTCTTGTTGTTCCTTGTTGCATTTTTCTTCTTTCTATTGGCTATAGAAATAATATTTGTTCTTGTCATGTCATAATTCGGATCATAAACCATTCAGATATTCAGCCAGAACTAACATACAGACTAGAGTATTTTCATGCACTGAGCATTGCTAGAATCCATTAACATCTAGTTGTTTTTTCACATTTTCTTTCAACCAAGCAACCAGCCATGAGCTGTGTGGCCTGTTTGAATGTGCTGGGTCTTGAAGAAGCAAGTGACTGCTGACTTGTTTGAATTCAGCCGAGTAATGGCTGTGGGCTTCACAAGAGAAGTGGACTTAATTATTCAGTATTTTTTAAAAAATCAACAATGACAGCACAGCCTTAAACAGTGAAGCAGAAACACTGTTGCAGCTTGTGAAATGTAATTGTCAAATAGATGTTCTGAGAGGCTTTTGAGGTGTCCACAGTCTGGTCTCTTTGGAGTCTCTTTCAGCTTGTTGTTGGAGAAGTTAATCCTAAAACATGGCAATCTCCCACTGTGCCTCCCTTTGCCATCCATCATGGGTATTCTTTTTCTATTCAAAATAGATAATTAAATCAAAGCATTGATTTGCACAATGTTCTTGCTTAAGTCTGAATACTGTTTGTTGGCATGTTTGTTTAACTAATATGCGTCTTAATGTGATGCCCATTCAAATAAAGAAGGAAGAAAATCAGTATCACAAAGGCTGTGATACATGATCACGCTGTGCGCTTGTTACGAACAGACAGGCTCAGTTATGCTGTTTGCTGAAGCAATGGACAGTTGTGCTGGTTTCACTTCTCAGGAAGCTGGCCTGGTTGCTAACCCTGCCATATTTTTGCCTTTATCATCCCGGCCACTTTGGTATTGTGCCTCAGTTTCTCATCCATTGGAAAACAAGTGGTGTTATTTAGCAAATGCCACCAAGGACCACAGGGGAAGAGGAGAATAAGGTTTTTGTTCCATGGTGATGCAAGTGGAGTTCAGTAAGGTTTCCTGAGCATCTTCCTAGGGCAGCCTTTTGCACCTCGCTTCAAAGCAAAACCTGAGGGTTGAGGGATGCCTTGGAATGGCCTGGGATATTGAGGGGCTGGGAGTGTGACATCAAAAGGTGAAGCCGCCGGAAACGGGGGGGTTCTTCTTGTGTGAATGGAAGTACCTTATTGCAGAAGAATGATTTGGATTGCAGTCACAATAATGGAATAAACATACTTGTTTGGGAAAAGTCATAGCAAAATAAATGTTTTTACTTGTTGAAGAGAAAACTGTTATTTTTAAGGTTGGGTGGAGCTAAGATACTTTCCCCCCCTTCTCTTCACAGTCAAATCGACCGTGCTGCTTTTCCAAAGCCCGACCACTGGCCTCTTTCCCACAAAGACCGTGGGCGACAACCAGAGGGCAAAAGTGCACGACAGTCTTTACTGTGCCGCGTGTGTGTGGGCGCTGGCACTGGCATACAGGTAAATGGGGAGAGAGAGGGAGAGAGAGAGAGAGAGAGAGTGTGTGTGTGTGTGTGTGAGAGAGAGAGAGAGAGAGAGAGAAAGAAAGAGAGAGAGAGAGTTGCCAATTGCATCAAGTACAATTAAGGCCACTTAAAGAGAGCCTATCAATTTTCAATGGATAAAGTGTACTCATTTCGCAGCTTAAATCTGTGACAGCTTACCAGTTTGTACCAGTTATTACCAGCTCTTTTAAGGTTACAAGGTCGATTTTCTTTTATTTCTGTTCATTTGTTTATCTTGCACTCCTGTGGGTAAAATGCCTTTAGGTGAAGCTAGTTCTTGGTGCAGTCACAATGCCAATTCTGTATCTTTCTCCAATTCCCCCCAGTTTCCGCACTTTCTGTCATTGTAGATTTCGATTAACTCCTGTATCAACCCTGCATCCTTTCTGCAGACACATCCATTGAGAATGTGTGTGTTTACAGCTCATCCCACTTGCCTTCACAAGCAAGTGACCTTCTCTTCTGTGCAGGTGTTGGTAGACGATGCGTCGTTTCATCATGCCAGCATTATTTATTTATTTTTGGCATTCTGTGTCTCTCAGTAACATATTTCTCCAGGCAGCTACAATACATAAACACATTTAAGTTTTCAGTGGTACGAGTTTTCTGCTGCAGCATGTAGTTGAAATAGTACGGTGGGATAAGATAGTTACTAATATTCATGTCCATAATGGAGAGCACTGAGCTCAATATTGAAAGCAAGTGACTTAAGAAAGGAAACTGAGTGGGGGCAGCCAGAAATGGGGAGAGAGGGACTCTGATTCGAGAGTATAATGAAATTAAAATTAAGGACATAATTGACTCTTAAAATAACAAAACTCATAAAAGAACTTTTTACATCATTGGTGGAGGTTTTTCTTTCCTTTGTCATTGATCACACAGAGTAAATGGTCTCAAGATGACTTTTATTGCAGGCTGAAGTTTATAACCTGAAGAGTTACTGCAAAGGTAGACAGTGAATTTGTGCAAACGGAAGGCTTAATTCTATTTTTAAGTGTATCTTCTGAATTCATCCCCTCTCCGCCTCTGTGAAGCCTGATTTTGGGAGCTTCAACATAGCACAGATGTGATGATAGGATCCTGCAATTATTCATGATCCAGTATTAAGCTTATCAAAGGGCGAACATGTATTCTTCACTGCACTGATGCCTGCTTTCCACTACCTGATGCCACCCCTACCGAAATTTTCAGTTGATTGTATTAGCTAAATCAACTTTGCCCACCTAAAGCTTGAAAAGCTGCCCTGTCCACGTGTAGGACTCAGTGCTAGAAGGCCTAGGTAGGTGCCACACACATCATAAAATCATAGAACTGGAGCAAGCCATTTTGGTCATCAAGTCCAACCCCCTGTGCAGTGCAGGAATCCAGTTTTAAAAAATCCTTGGCAGACGGATGCCCAGTCATTGCTTGAATATCTTCCGTGATGGAGATCTCACCACATCTCTTGGCAGCAGGTTTCATTGCCTGACTTCTCTGACTATTAGGAAGTCTTTCCTGATGTTAAGTTGAATTCTACCTTCCTTTAACTTCAGCCCATTATTTCTTCTGTGTGACATGTCTTTCAGTACTTGAAAAGTGCCGGAATACACCCCCCCCCCCACTTATTTTTTCTCAAGGCTAAATGTACTCGGTTCCTTCAATCTTTCGTTTATAGTTACCTGATCACCTTTCTCCCTGTTGCTGAACTCATTCCAATTTATCTGACTGCTGCTTAAATGGTTGTATCCAGAACCGACTTTGTAGTTTATCCCACATCCTGTATTGCACAGCTGACCAGCCAATGCGGGGCAGCTACTGCTCCTCCTTTCTTCTCCCATGTTGCCTCAGGTTGTTGTATTAGAAATCTCATCACCCTCTGCAAAAGCTTCCTCCAAGACCATTCTTCCTCTCAATTCCTCTTTTCAGGTTTTAACACTTCGACTTCTGTTAACAGAAAATACAGATAAGTATTCACCTTTTCTTTGCTACCAGCTCTCTAATCACTATTGGCCATTGTCATGTGGCTAACTACTGGTTTTTCAACTTGCATCTAAAAATTCAATTGCTAGCATAATTCTCTTCAGTTTATCAGACCATATGAATAAATACAAGCTCATTATTAAAGTACACATATTCAAAACAGCATATATTGAGTAATTAAATACCCAAAACTAATATTTAAAAATACCAAAATAACTCAACACACGCATTAAACTCTTTTACAGCTAAATAAAACAGATAATTTATGTAATTATTGTACATCATTACAAATCTTTGAATTATTCAGGCAGCAGAACCTCCATTCCAGTTATCAACAATTGACCCCATTTTTTCTTCTTAATTATAGAGGCTGCTACAGCAAATAAATTAGCCCTATCTGTCACATATTGATATTCCTTTGTTACAAGAATTAAATCTTTAAAAAAAATTATGCATGCACATACTGGCTGTGAATTGCCCAGAGAGCCTTCTGGCTATGGGGGCGGCATGCAAATGCAATCAATCAGTCTGAAAGCCAGTATGGCATAATGGTTAAAGTATTGGATTGGGACCTTGGAGACCTTGGTTCTAGTGCCCGCTCAGCCATGGAGTCAACTGAGTGACTTTGGGCCAGTCAACCTATCTCTCAGGATTGTTAGGTGGATAAAGCGACTTGGAAGCGATACCTGGTAGAATGGGCATGCTAATAGTATTCGTAAGCCTGAGTCTTCAGCCAGATCTGACCCAATTGCCCTATAGTTTTCTAGTTCTCAGGCACTGTACATTTAGGATTTCTGCCTGTTCCTAAATGTTCAGCATTCAGAAGTCTTCATCTCTCACACCTTGGCATTTCAGTGGGTTTCCTCTTGCTGACTTCTGTCTACAAGCAAATGGCTGGTGCAGATGTGACAAGAAGCTCTCTTAACCTTGGTGTAGAGACAGGAAGTATCCAGACACCTTAACATCAGGGGATGCATTGACCACAGCGCTTAGTGTAATAAAGGCTAAACATCTTAATATAACCTTAATATAAGGCTAAACATCTTAATCTTGAAGTGGATTAATAATCCTTATTAAGTGGGGAAATCTCATTAGCCTTAACTACACTCAACACCAGTAATATCCATAATTGTGGTTGAGGCAAATGGGATTTGTTGACTGGAGGGAACATGCAATTCAACTTTCCAATTACTTAGCTGTGGCCGAGAAGGGCTTTCTGCTATGTCGTCAGCAGCTCATTGGTGCTGACCTTCCTGCTACCCCATAAATCTTACAACAGCAGTGTGGGGTGGTATAATGGTGAGATTGTGGCATGGACTGTGCCACTTCAGAAGGCATGTTCCGGGCAATATTTTGAATGTTGCCCAGTGTAAAACATAAGGACCCCCCAACTCCCTGTAAGCAGAAAACTAGCACTCCAGAAAAAGGGTAAGATGAGAATGTTTCTCTCACACGTGCCAGTTTTCTGTTTGTAGGGAGCTACTGCTTGATTTATTATGTGGAAACACAATCAAAAGTGATATTCTCCACCAAAAAACTGAAATGAGACAGCCCATTCCACTGCTTGGGTAGTGGGCTTCAGCTATTGGGTGGTATAAAAAATAATAAGTAACTTAACTGAGTATAGCCAGCCAATGCATTTTTGAAAAGAACCTGTTAAATCTTTCTTGCTAGATATAGATTTCTTGTTCTATTTTTAATTATTCCTCTTGGGAAAGGAAAATTAAAAATGCTATGTTTACTATGCCTGGATGGAAGTTTGTGTGTTTTGGCTCATTGAACAATATCAGTTGCCCTCATTGGATGATACGAGAGCCATCCCTTGCTCTCAGATTCAGAAGCTGAAGGTAAATTTAAATACATGCAGAAAGCTCAAACAAAAAAAAAAAAAAAAAAGGAAAAGAAAAGCTGAACATATCAAAATAAAATCAGAAATAAATGTGGAATAATTAATGTATGGTACTTTAGTACATTGCATAATTAAATACGATGAAGCTGTCTAAATTATAAATGATGAGCAATTGTAACTATAGAAGGATTCCTTACAGGGTGGTGTTACTATGGTAACTGGTGAGAATACTTAAAAATCTGAAGAAGTTTTACAGTGCATCTGCCTTCAATAAATACTTTTCACCTATAGAATAGGAAGTAGTTGTAACAGAACAGATCAAACCAGAGTGCCCCCTCTTCAGTTATGTATAGTATAAAATAGATATTAAAGCAGTGAGATATACTGATTAGGAGTCTGGCTTTAGATGGCCACCTGCCAAAGAGGACTCCTGCAGCTTCAGTAGTTGTGTGGAAGAGAGAATTTCACAGCAGGTGTAACTTCATGGATGTTTTCCTGAAAAATGCTCTTGATTAAATTGCCCCATTTTATGTGCTCAGACATGCAGCTGAATTATTTCCTCTGTATCACATACGGGCTTTTAAAAACCTTTGTCTCCACAGTGTTCTACGGTGCTCTGTTCCTTCTGACCTATTGGCATTTATGGAATTCTGGGGGAGACCTTTAAGCTTTTAGATACCTCTAAAGTCCTGAACAGCAGGGTGCTGTTAGACACAATGGCAGTTGGTTTCATGTTGGTTGCTCGGGACCTGGGACATGCCACATAGGCATTCACACTTTAGGATTTCATTTTAGTTGAATTTGAGGTTTTCAATACACATTTCAAGTCCCCTCAGGAAACAGGTGGGTTTTTTTAAAAAATCAGCTTTTCTTACTTCAAATGGTTTCTCCATTGTCCATTTTAGCTCTAACTTATATTGAAAGGAAACTCTTCCTCCACCTCAACTGTACAGTATTTTCTAATTTTAGTTCAGTCCTTTCTCTTTAGCATGGTATATTAATAGTATCACTTGACATAATCTAAATTTCACTTTTATATTCAGGGTTCAAAATTGTCATATATGGTTCAGAAGCTCTAGCTTAACTCTCTAGTTGATTAAATATCTGATGCCATTCAGACTGTCCTTTTAGAGATGTAATTCCCTCTTCTAACTTCTACCTTCAAATCGATTCAGCCTTCACGTTTCTATGCAGGGTGCCATCATGTGCAGAAGTTAGACACACACCATTTTTGTCATCAAGGGGTGGTTTTTATCCAGAGCTTGCTGCTATGAGTTTGCTCACACTCTGCACTGTGTTTTTGGTCCCCATAAATTTTCTCAATGACCTGAGGTCCTGTTCTATTGCCATTCATGCGTCTTTTATTTGATTTCGAATGTCATCCGTTGAGTATCTCTGTGGGACTTCAAGTGGTGGTTCAGTATGCAACTTAGCTGCTGATGGTCCCATCTCCTGCGCCCTTTCAAGAAGGCCAGTTCTTCCTGGACCCTCTAGTTCAGGTTTCAAACACTGCTCTCACTTCTGATATCCATGTGGGGAGTGCAAAGAAGCCGAAGAGTCCCGTCTCAGGTTCCCTCCATTACATGAGAGCAGAGCTCCCAGATGCATTTGAGAAGGAGGAGCTATACCTCCTTGCTAAAATCATCATTTGCGGAACATAGCAATGGTTTGGGGAGCAGGGCAGGAGGGAGCTACCGCATGGGCTCTCCTCGAATGGTTTGGGCCTTCCGGTCTCAGCTTCTCATGACAAAAACTAGGCTGAGGTAGTTTTCAAACTGTTGGTGCCAGGTGAGGTCTAGAGGCATCATTTGGTTCCTTTCACTTGTGTCTTTCCAAGATTTATATGGTCTTTTCCACTACTTATTCGGGTAATTTTGGATGGGTTTTTAAAATGAACCAGGGCGTTAGCCAAACTCTCTGCTGTCCATTTGGACTGCTGGAAAGATTCCATTGTGGATTCCAGCACAGCGGAGGTGCAGGTAAGATAGCATAAGGCGACCAAGAGATCAAGTGTAACGTATTATCTGGAATCTAATACAAGGAGTGCAGGGAGTAAGTCTTCATTATTCCTTTATGGCTGATTCTAAAAAGTGTTTTATCAGCTCAAAATTATGGCTTTCCTGGTGGTCGCCAAGGTATGCATTCTTTTTCTACTACATGACACACAAGAATGTGGTGTTAGTTCAACTGATATATTTATGAGGGAAGAAAAATGACATGGGAATGCTGAATAATTTACTCCTTCCTTGCATTCAGCATCACGTAGGAGAGATTTCTTCTTCTTCTTTGCCTTGCATGCAGCTCTGCTAGATTTTCATTTGAAGAGCTAATTATAATTTCATTTTCATTCAGAGACTTTCTCATCAAGTGCAGAGGAGCTCTACTCCAGAAACCTTACTCCAGTGAAGACTGGTTTTCTTCCTGGATTAAATAGTAGCCTGTGTTGATTTTGAAAACTGTATAGTTTACTAAAATATTCATTTGTAGCTGTTTGATTTCTTACACCATTTTCTTTTTCTTGCTGAACCTACTCACCTTTAAAAGCTTTCCTATTCATCTTTTTTAAATTTTTATGACAGGTCTTTGTTTGACATACCCTTGGGTTAAAAACACCAAAGTAATCACTTAAAGGGTTCCATTTAATTACAAGCTGGAAATGTTGCCATTTAGAATTTATATGTTTAATTTACTTCTTCTGCATTAAAAACCTTATAAAACACTTAGCAATAAATGGAATAACTGGATGCAAAATATAGTGAATAAAAAAGAGGATGTTTCTTGCATTCTGTTACTTGTGTCTTTTGAAATATCCTTGACATCTTACTTTTATTAAAGCTTTAATTCCTTCTCCCTGTGGGATAGATGCAGCTATAGATAGTGCAGATCTAAGGTTTGTGCAGATGGGACTCTTTTGGGTTCATGCTATCAGAAAGAAAGGGATCTGCCTAGAAGCTTTCCCTGCCCCTGGCTCAGTGCTTTAGCTTTGAACCAGAAATATTAGAAGTCTTTATATAAGTATACAGGTGTCTTAATTACTGCCCTTAGACTCTTCCATGCATAAGGTGATAGAAATTTCATAATAGTGGGAAACAGGCTTAATTATGTCCCCTGATACTTGAAATCTACTGATTCTCCTCCCCGCAAATGTTTCCATCCCTCAAGTCAAGGCAGGGTTATCCTCCATAAGAATGCAAGCTTTTTCTGTTACATCCCTGCATATGGTATAGTGGTGTCCCTTGAGAAGCTTGTTATTAACTTGTCTGTAAAGAGGAGAGTTTTTTGTTTTGTGTTGTGCCTAGGTTCTTAAGGTACTTCTGCTCCGAAGTTTTGCAATCAGTGGTTTTGCTGGTTTTAGTGAAAATTATTTTAAATGTGTACATCACTTGAAGACTTCGTTGAAAAGCTACATATACGTTTAAACATTCCAAGGCTCTATGTTGATTCAAGGTTTACAAAGCCCCCAAGAAATCTGTTGATAAATTTGAACAAATCCGAGGAAGGGTGGGAGCTCCCATAGAGCTGGTCACTAGCAGTTTCTAATGCAGACAAATATCTCCTGTAAATCCAATTTCACACTTATTCGGGGACATCTGTGATTTTGATTGAGTGCTGTGGACACTAACATATATGGCTGCCATGGGTGGGCTGGGGCAGGGGAGGTTGCTGCTTCTTACTAACAGCGTGCTTGGTCATGCGATATTCATTTCCCAGGAGCTGATGGGACCAAGAGGTAAGTAACTTGTCCAGGAACCTGGCCAAAAAGAGTTTGTGTGGCATGGTGGTTAGTGTGCTGTTGGGGCCAGCTTTCTGACCATAGCTTTCCCCACCAGACAGTTCATTTTTGGAAAGTGAGATAAACAGGTTAGAAGGGGAGAAGGCTCTGGCAAGGTCCACAAGTGAGTTTAGTCAGGCAGCGACTGAGAACCAAAGTGGCTTGGCCTTTGGGAATGGGGACCCCATAGAACATGGATGAGCAGAGTGAATTCCTAGATCCTGTGAGACAGAGCCAGGTCAAATGGGTGGGCTGCTTGTGTAGCTTCCTGCTGTTTGGCCCACGCCTGAGGGTCGAGTCAGGGTCCCAGGACAAGGAAGAGAGGAGGGGCTGTTTCAGATTGGAATTAACTGTTCACATGGACAGAAGCTGCTCCACAAATGGGAAGGATCACCTCTTTGATTTCTGCAAATTGAAAAGCTCTCATAGAGGATACCCTGAAGCTCAGTAAAACCTCTTAAGCTGAAAAAGGACATCCATTCAAGACTCAGAGCCCCAGTTTCCCTGTTCTTGACCATTAGCCCCACTTTGTGGAATGGAACCTACAGCCGAGTAAGTGTGCTTAGGATTGCAGCCATGGGTTCTTAATTCGAACTTGCGCTACATGTCAGTCACACATTTTCTTGATCCCATCATGGGCAGTACAGCAGGGTGTGTTAGCAGACTAATGAAGGGGAAGTGTGATGATGCACACACGCATGCCAGTCTGTGTTGAAACTAAATGTGGGAAAAAAAACTGGAGCATCCATCCAAGAGTCTTTATGAAATCTGTTTGGTGCATTAAAGTGACTGCCATAGTCTCTTAATTATTGGTATAAAACCCTGACCCTACCCTTCACACCTGCCTGAGCAAAGAATGGGTGGAGAATGGAGGCAAGGCTTTGCAAGGATTCTGTGAGATAGAAGAAATGACACATTTTATAGTACTAACATAAAGAGTAGTAGAAACGAATGTGAAGAATTTTGCTCATTTAATGCTTTTTAGAATTTATTAGCAGCATTGCAAACCTTAATATGTCACAGATTTTTGTTGAAAACATTTATATAATCCGCTTAGAGGGTCCCTGGGCCAATATAGCAGAATATAAGTTAATAAATAAATTCTTTTTGCCTGTGGTTTGATAGTTTATGTAAGGAAGCAGATTAAAAAGAGGGTACCAGGTTTGTAGACAGTCTTGCCTTGACTTCATTTCTTGCAGCCTAGGAATAATGTTTGGTTTAAAAAAAGTCATTGCGGCAAGGTTGATGATAGGACCGAGTGCATCAAAGTTAGCTGGCACCACTATATAAAACCTTCTTAATACTTAATTATCAGAAAAGAGAGGCTGGTACCTTTAACTTGCGTCTGAATGCATTTCCAATTTGTTTCATGGGTTATCTCTCTCACCCAGGCGTATTGATGATGACAAGGGAAGAACCCATGAGCTGGAGCATTCTGCTATAAAATGCATGCGAGGAATTCTCTACTGCTACATGCGTCAGGCTGATAAGGTAAAACACTGCAGTGTGGACGCAAGCACGCACTTAATTCTAAAGGATTAAGTTAATTGTAAGCATTAAAAAATGTTCCAAACAGGAATCAAATTAAAAGGGCAATGGGCAAGTGCCGCAACATGTCCCGCTAGGAGAGGTCTGTTCTCAGGCAGTGGGCCCAGCGTATTTGAAAGCTGGGGGTGAAGAAACACTTGACTCTGTAAATCAACTCTTGAATAGAATTCATAAATTCCATATTTTAATTACATTATGAACCAAAGCCAGTGACCGACAGGAATTCACTATTTTAATGCTGTAAAAAGGCATAGTAAGTTAGTCCTACTTACTATAATTTTATAATTATATACATCCAAAATATATATCATTATAAAAATGTGAAGTTTTTCAAGAGTTCACCTAAAAGCTAGCTAAGGGGGGATGTGCTGTTCATTTGAGCAGTGTACAAATGGGAGCAGTAAGCACAGTGGGATACTCTCCTCCTTTCCATGGAAAGTGGCATCTTCCAACTCTCGAATGGAACATGTGATTGTGTGTGTCTTCCATATGTATTGCATGACACATACAATTACAGCACTCAGATCAGCAGGGATTTTGTACGTGGCAACCTCCAACTTGCTGCCAAAACTGATGTGATGCGTGTAAGAAATAGCTTTGAGTGTTAAGTATGGATTCAGACCATGCTATTTAAGGGATGTCTCTGCTCAGAAAAATTCAATGTGACAAGGTCTCCTTTAAGTAAGGTGTTTGTCCTCTTTCTGTGTGGGTTGACTTGACATGCTGCTGTGCGACCGTCTTCGATAGACATAATTCAGCAAAGATTATTTATAAACTCATGTCCCCAAGAGGATTCTGTCTTGCACTTCACAAGTGGAATTACTTTCTTTCCATTACTTTGTTTGCAGGCTCTGTTTTAAAGCTGGAGTTACTGAGGGGTCATTTTTGGAAGTTCGTTTAGGAAAACAAAAAGGTTTCACTTGTCAGCCTTATTTCTTAGTATCATTTTATCACTGCAGGTGTAATCATTTCTCCATAAATACAGATCTCCACCAAAAAGCCATGATTGAGAGGCCATTTTAGATGTACCAAAGGTCTGCGCTTTCCTAGTCTGTTTCCTCTGCCATTTCACAGTAGAGGCAGAGCGAGGGTGTGTGTAGCTGCTTAAGAAACACAAGTTCCAATCCAACTTGGACACAAACAGCTAGTTGTGAGGTGTATTGGGTTCTGGGCAAAGTGTGCCATTCCCTTCTTCTGCTGATCCAGAATTGACATATTCCATCCTGACTGTGACAGATTTAAGCTATCTGGGAGATCAGCCCAGCTGTTCTGGCAGCTGCCTCACAGACCTCAAATGCAGATCTTAAGAACTCAAATCAGGGTCCATCTAGCTCATTACTGTCCGCACTGAGTGGCAGCAGCTCTCCAGTTTTTCAGAGAAAAGTCTTCTCCGTAACCCTACCTGGAGATGTCCAGGGCTGCACCAGACCATCTATATGCAAAGTAATTGCTCTGGCACTGAGTTCCAGCCCTTCCATAGGTAAAGCAGCCTGCCAGATAGTTGCCACTGATCTTCTCTGTTGGGGCTGTGGGAGGAGGGCGTTGTTGGCAGAACTCCTGCATTCCAAAAACTAGCTCAAGTGTTTTGACTTGCTTCCTAGAGGTCAACCTTCAGATACATTTCATTTCAGCCAGGGAAATGGAAGGACCGCTGGATCTGTTAAAGCCTGGGATTCAACAGAAATATCCCTAGGGAATGAGTTTTTGTAATTATTTTCCCTTTTAGGAGGGCTTTTGAAAACTGAATAAAAACAATATCTTTGTCTTATTTGGGTTCTTCACCCCCAACCTTGCTTGTGCGCGCGCTCTCGCGCGCGCGCGCGCGCGCGCGCTCTCTCTCTCTCTCTCTCTCTCTCTCTCTCTCTCTCTCTCTCTCACACACACACACACACACACACACACACAGAGAGAGAGAGAGAGAGAGAGAGAGAGATTCTATATATTTAGCCTTTGAAAAATGCATACGTGCAGCTAGCATGAGAATACTGTGCCAGGAAAAGATGCATCGAAATGATAACAAATAAGGAAGTGAATGTATTCATTACTTGATGGCAGAGCTATTTAAGAAGCCTATAATTTGTCTACCCAGGCTTGACACTGCACGTTATTATGAAGAAAGATCTTTTCAAATGTTATGCTACAGTAGAAGTAATTTCATTCCAGAGTACAAAGAAGTAACTAGTTGTACTAATGGTGCCAGTCAGTTATAGTGTGGAAGCCGGGAAACGCAGCTCAGCTCTCCATATCTGATAGATTTTGAAGAAGTTATCTCCCATTCCTGATGGTTATAGCATGGCGTGTATTTTCATTTTACTTATGTGACCAATGTCATTATCTTGGCAGACCTGATATTAAAGATATCTCTAATATGCTTCATGCATCAGAGCTGGAGCCGCACAGATGAACGGAGCTTCCCACCCTCTGTTTTCTCTCATTTAGCTTTCATGTTGGCTAATTGAAACCTAAATTTCTTCTGTCACATGAACTATTCTTTTATGAGGCACAGTGCCAAGCTGAAGAGAGGCCTAAGCAAATGATAATAGCAACAAACAAAGGAAAATTCTAACCTGCAAATCTGTCATTCATTTATCTGTAATGTTTGCATCTCTTCCTACGAGGAGCTCAATATGACCCGTGTCAACAGAATCCCATCAGGCTCGTGTGAAACGGAATCTCCAGCATCGTACATTCCTAGAACAATACCAGTTATAGGTCTGGGTCTCAATGAGTCTCATCTCTCTAGCAGGTTATTTTCTGAGCATAGAACATGTTGCTAAAGAATACGTAATCGATTTGTATCGATCCAGCCATTCCAATGTTCTTGTGAGCTTTCCATGATGAAAAGTAGATACAGATTTAGGATTTTATGTAACCTGTTTTTCCCCATTTCCCCTGAAGGTTCAGCAGTATAAGCAAGACCCTAAGCCATCCAAATGCCTGCATTCTGTGTTCGGTGCCCACACAGGTGATGAGGTCTTTTCTCATGAGGAATATGGACATCTTCAGGTATGACGTACATTTCTGAAATTTGCTTCAGGCACTGGATTGCCTGGGTAATATTACTTGCTCTCACTGCTCTGCTAAAGACTGGCATACTTCAAAGCTGTGCCAAACTGTGGAGCTTAGCAAATTGATTTTCCCCTTATAGCATACTAAGAAGAGCAAGCTGTTTTGTAGCTTGACTTGCTGCTGTATATCTCATTGAAAACAATATCGGTACAGTAGGCAAAAGAATTGTTGCTTTCTTTAAGGCAAGGGAAGCAGTTGTCAGTATGTTATGGCATAACAAAACTGTATTTATACAGTAGCATAAATAAAATTCAAGAACTGCTGATGCTAGATGTTGAATGCAGGCTTTGACAACCATTAAATTAAAGAGAAAGAGTTATGGCTTTTTCATATAACTTGGATTTGTTTTCATTGTTCTCATTTCTGAGATTTAGAAAGGCAGTTTCCTTCCGTCATCCCTCCTACTTTGTATTTGCCGAGTATCAATTCAACCTGGAATAATAGTAACCTGTGAGGGTTCAGCCCACAGCTATTAAGAATTTCTCCTGCCCAATAGCTCATGTGGCATAGTAGTTATTGAGTTGCATTAGGACTCCAGAAGTCTGGGGTCTAGTCCCCACTTGGCCGTGAAGCTTTCTGTGTGACTTCGAACTGATCCCTGATGTTAAGCCTAACCTACTTAACAGAGGACGCATATGTAAGCCACCCAAGGTTCCTTGCAAGAGGAAAAGTGGTGGAATATATAGGTAGCAAATATAATAAATAAACAGCAACAGAGAATTTCCTAAATGATGGCTATTTTGTATTGGCAGCCAAGCATCTACAAAATTGATTCACAATATTGTGGATAACAGCTGTGATGCTTTCTGTTGAATGTAACGTAGGTGCTGCTACTTACTTTGCTTTTTCTCCTTGCTGCCTGATGGGGTTCATTCTGTTATTTTGAGTGTTTTTAAGAAAAGAGCTGCTGTTGCAAAAACAACAGAGCTAGGACCAGTTTAAAAAAATGATGTTATTGGCATTTCCTAACTGTGGTTGACATCTGAAGAACTACTGTAGGTGACCACAGTGGCTTGCATATGCCCAGTAGAGTTCTTGGCTTTTCTCTCTGCAGCGTGATAAACAAACCTGCTGTTTTAACGTGCTGATCCTCAGCTTCAGGTGTGGCTTGCAATGGGAAGAAAAAGGACTGCCATCCGTGAATCACAAGTCCAAATGCCCCTGTCACACACCTAGTTGTGTGCTTCTTGGGAACCTGCCTTGTGAGCGGAAACAGTAATTCCTGGGAGTGATCCGTTGCAACCCTCCTCACCATTTTTAATAACCACTGCACTGGCTTTCGGCTTCTTATCTGTTTTAGCACACAGTTGAACAATGCTGGTTCCAGGCTTTGCTATAGCTTAGTATACTAAATGGCTTACTGTAGGGTTGGGATGTTTTCATTCTCATTGTGCAACATCCACTGTCAAGTCATACATACAGTGCATTGAAAAGAAGTGAAAAGGACTCATTTAAGTTGCATGCATTTGAGTGGGTCTACTCTGTGTAGACTAACATGGGATCCCAGCCTGGGTCACAACCGCCAGAGAAAGAAAGGCAAACTTGTTGAATAAAAGAATGTTGTGCCAAGGGATTAGTTTTTCATGTCAGAACTGAATGGCTTTCATAGCCAGTCCACACAGATATTCATGCCTGGTCACGCCACACTTTCTTCATTTCGGCGGGGTAAGTTAGGGCTGGAGTTATTTTGTTGCTGTTGTGGCTAAACAGCAAGAGTCTGGAGTCCTTGCAGACCTACTACAAGCAGACCCACAGTGGACCTTCTGCTTTAGGGCCTACTTATGGACCTTTGCACCCGTATTTATTCGCTGAGATCACCTCCCAAGGCCCTTCTCCTGGCACGAGACTGAAGTGGCTGGTGCACAGGGAGTGCTGCCCCAAAGACTGCTAGCCTGGGACCTGGTTTGATGATGATTAGGCACCAGGCCAAGACGTGCCTCATTGCTGTTGGTGTTTTAGTGCTTCTTTCTGTTTTTGTTCTGCTCTGTCTGCTGCTGTTGATTAGGGAGTGTGGCTTCAAGCTGCCTTTCTCCTACAGCTTATAATGTGGAGGCCCAAATATCATTGTGAAGACTGGGGCAAATAAATGCTCTGAAGCTCAGCCAGTAATGCCACTCTGTTTCTGCCAAGGCCTTTCCTGGCTTCCTTTCATATAGTTTTTACTTCATATAGAATCAGAACTCCACCTTTTTAAAAATAAAAATTATGCAGTTATTCATGCCCCATTCACTGGCTGATAAGCAACGTGCATTGTGGTGCTTTCTTAAGTGGCTGCATTTTGTATTCATTAGTTTGATATTTTTCTGTGTACTTCCTTGATGCAATGCCTTGCGGGAAGCTGCTGTGGTGGATGATGCTGACATCTAATAGATAATTATGCCAGAGAGGAAAACAACTCATCTTTCTTAAATGTAATTTAAGTCCTATAAATCAAATGCAGATGAGTTGATTAAAACTTAAACATCCCTCTGTAGGAGGCCGCATGAATGTTTTCTCTGTTAGGTAGGAAATGGGAGTCTTCTTTCCCTGCTCTGAAAATCCGCTTGCTCTCTCTTAGTGCTTTGTCATCAGTATTGCCATTAGCAGCCGCCAGAGCAGGAGTTGGCAACCCATTTCTCTGTCGAGGCTTGCATTCACTTAGGGTGCATCTCTGGGGGTTCTGTGCCAGCAGTGAGCTGGGATGGAGCCCCAGATGGATGGGCTACTGGTTTCTTCCCTCTCTCTCTTTTCTGTCGTGTGGCATGCTTGGAGAGGGACAGATGGCTCCCATCAGAAGTCTGAATTTCGCACTAAGTTAAGGGCCTCATAAAATTAGACTGAGTCCCTCAGGTTGCCTATCCCTCCACTCTAGGTGCTCTGTCATGAATAGTAATGAAATACATTATTTTCAATGTAGGTCATATTAGCAATCCCATGAAATTGGTCTGTTGCTTTATTTATTTATTTATTTAGAATATTGTTATCGCATCCTGTACAAACCAATTGTCTCTGGACAGCTTGCAATAGAATATAAATAAACAGTGAATACAAAGAATCAAGATAATTTGGTCCCTTTCCATTGTGAGTGCACTTTTTCGAAACAGATGCTGTGGAAGCCATTGAAAGTAGAACTATTTGGGGGGGGGGTCCTGAATCCCCAAACTATGATCTATGTCCTAGAGGTACTGCTCAGCCAGAAGAAAACTACTTCCAACAGCAAGCCTGCAGCTTCTAGCCAAGCTGAAGCTTGCAAATTCCTTCATGTACAAGACATGCATCAATTCTCCATCTGTGACTGTTCTTTCTACTTGTGACAGTGCTGTGTATTGACACCTTGGGCTTTTATTAAAGGGAGCATACAAATGCAGTTTGAAGGGTACTGCTTGTGCTGACTGCCCGCTCTGGTGCTTTTTTCCTTGCTTCAGATAAGCGCCGTGTCGCTGTTCCTCCTTTACCTGGTTGAAATGATCTCTTCTGGTCTGCAGATTATCTACAACACGGATGAGGTATGGATCAACTATTTTTGTACCCCTGCAAAACGTGCTGACAGTTGCATCTCTCAGGAGTTCAATGCATGAGATTGAATGAATCCTTGATCTGACTTCATTGTTCCCTGCACATTGTGATTGGTTTCATTAGCTTCTGTTTCCATTTTGCATCCACTAGCTGGCTTTTGCATTGAGTTTTCCAGTTCTATACAGTGACAAACATAGTTAGTTTTTAAAGTCACCAGCTTATTTTATTTTACTTATTATTCTTATATCCCGGCCTTTTCTCCAAAGAATTCGAGGCAATGTACATGGTTCTTCCTCTGCTTCCATTTTATCTTCACAACATCCCTGCAGTGAAGTCATGGCTAAAAGAAAGTGACTGACCAAAGTCACTCTGTGAGTTTACCGATTGAATGGGGTTTGAGCTCAGGTCTTTCCTGTCCTACTCCAGTACTCTAAATACTACACCATGGTGCCAAATCATCCCTGTAACTTGATTAAGAGTGTGAGGATTGTTTCTGGGTTTTTTAAAAGTCATCTTCAGCTGCTCCCTAGGATAATGTTTGAAAAAGCAACTGTGGAGACACATGCCTTTTCCTAGCTAGAAAGCATCTGCTTACAAGCTCAAAATTGTCTAGCTGAACTGTTCAACACTCAATCTTTTGAACTGGTGTTGGTTTTGGATGTCAGAACCATGGTTCAGATCTATAGGTGGCCTTAGGCAAATTTTCAGCATAACCAGCCTCACAGAGCTGCAGTAAAAAGGAAATTAAATAATTCCATGGCAGTTGCAATCTGAACATCTTGAAGAGAGGATAGGAGACAAATTTGTTTTGCCAGTGAGCCGGTGTGGAGTCGTGGTTAAGCGCATGGGACTGGGACTCAGGCGACCTGGGTTCTAGTCTCTGCTCAGTCATGGAGCCAGCTGGGTGACTTTGGGCCAGTCACAGACTCTCAGCCCAACCTACCTCACAGGGTTGTTGTTGTGGGGATAAGATGGAGGAGGAGAATGCTGTAAGCTGCCTTGAGCCCTTTGTAGGAAAAAGACAGGCTATACATTGAAAAATAACTAACTAAATAAATTTGTTTCTGAAGAACAGGCAATTGTGTCTTCCCATGATGCTGCCCTTGATCTAGTTTGCATGTAATGACACCCATTGGTTGTTTGCAATGAATGGCCATGTTGCCTCCCCCAGGACCTTATTGCTCTTGGGAGTCTGGTTGTGACATGTGAATTCTGGTTGTTGAGGATGAAACAGCCAGGGTTTTAAACCATGGTTTGTTATGGTGTAAAAACTCAGAGTTGCCCCCCCCCTTGATAAGCCAGCATTTCTTGTTTGTATGTCGTGACAATCAAATCAGGAGTGGGATCCAAAGTGGAGGCGGGCGGGGGGGTGGGGGAAATAGCAGGCAGCCCGATTAGTTTCGACTTGCCTAATCTGCTGTTGGTCTTGATGTATGAACCAGGTCAATGATTCATAGCTAGGACTTCAAACTGTCATTCAAATGTAGCTATTCCTCTTCATACAATTTTTATCCTTCATCTTGCAACTTTTGGTAAATCATAAATAGATTTATTTGGCTAATGAATCAAAATAAGGCAGTGTAATTTAAAAGAGCACAAGACTTCAACTCAGCAGGAATTTTAGTAGCATTAGTCAAGATGTAAGTTATATGCAAGTCATAAGCCTTGCATAATTTTATAGAATTCACTTTGTTGTGGTTTGTGTAACCACCATTTATAATTAAGGAAAATCAGTGTTGCATTGGGTGCTGCACAAATTTAACACATGCAGGAAAATATCAACGCTTTCACAATAGATTCTGTCATCCCTGTTGTAGCATTATATATGCACGTGGAGTCTTCAGGTTGTTTTCTTAATACATGCCTTTGTCTGACACAGTTAGATACTATTTCTATGCAACTTTGAATATCCCAAATATATGTATACAGTGCCCTGCAGATTAATCTGAACATGGCACTGGGCACCTTTTGTTAACAGACTCCGATTTCAAAAAACAACCACAACAGGAGAATTGAACCAAGATCATGGCACTTTCCTCTGGGCTGATTTCCCTATTAAAATAGCCCTGAAAGCTGGTATTTGGCCTGTAGTATGAAGAGGCAAAATGAGAAGTGCCTGTAGTTTTCCTGCTGCTGCTGCTTCTGGTTGGCAGACTTATAAATGTGGTATAGATAGGTGAAATCGACCCTTTCCCAGACACTCTGTGACTACTGTTTATCTAAAAAGCCAGTGCCCCAGGTAATCGCAGTTACGCTCGCAAGTGAAGATTATGTATCCCATGTCTGGTTTGACCCCTTATGCAGAAGTATGTGATGAACATCATACTTTCTACAACTAAAGTAGTACTGCTAGCATCAAATAATCGGTGTATGGTTCCTCAGAGTATTGTACATACATTATCTCCCGTAAATGCTTGTGGGGAGGATTGCCAGGGTCTGTGTGGTAACAGAGGAGGAGCAAGGTTTCTGTCCCGAGAGTTTTGCTGTAACCGAGACTGCAGATCAGCGGGCACTTGTCCACGTTGCTGTCCTCGCCCTGCGCTGCGGTACCTGTCCATTCATCAGCCTCTCCCTCCTCCATGCAGTGACCTGGCTGGCCGGACACCACAGATTAATCCTTAAAACAACCTTGGGATTATTGTAATTCACACACACAGTAGGGAGTTGATTGATAGTGGTTTGCCAGGGCCACCTCGTGAGCTTATGCCTAAGGTTTGAACCAGAAGCCGACTAGAGCTTGTGCACCTATTTCGCTTCTCAGTTCAATTATTTTAACGTGTCTTTGCCCTCATAATGCATCTTACACTGTTTGAAAGCCACGAGCATACACGTTAGTGGCGCATGCAGAAGCACCAGCACCAGCACGCAGTGATTTTAAGCGCAACTTGCAGATGGGGATACATGCATCTTCAAGGTACCTGTTGTTTTAAAAGCCAGCACTAGCGAGGTCAGACCTCTTGTCAGCAGTGGGCAGGGATGCACAGGGAAAGCCCCAAAGGCCAATGTCAGCAGCTCCAGTCAGGCCCAGAAACTAACAGGCAGCCCATGTAAATTATACATTACACTGTGCCAGGTTTCCTCTTCATGTGGCGAGAATGACCCTGGAAGTGAGACACAGTAATAAGACTCAGCTGACCAGTTGGATGTTACACACTTTGAATTTCCTGCTAACTCTGAACTGATTGTGGCCTTGTTTGAATTGGCTCTTTCTCAGTACATATGGCTCTGTTTGGATGCTCAAAGACTTCTCTGGGACCTTTCCCTCCCTGTGTCTTTCTTTATTTCACATTTAGACAATTCACTTGTGCAGGATGTTACGCCTATTGAATGCAGTGAAGCAATTCGTTATTACTCCTTTTTCCCTTGGAGGTAAATGAGTTGCCTCCAGTAGTAGATGAAAATGCTGAGCAAGTTTGAATGGTTGGGTAAATTTAATGAAGTTTGTTTCCCTATGTAGAACAGTGATATTTGTTAACTCCTTGCAAACAGAAATGGCTATTTCCACCGTATTATTTAAGTAACAGATGAGATGTGATACCCTGACCTTGGTTAGGTCACCATGAAGCTGGTCTGCAGTTTAATATCATTTCAAAGCGCCACGTAGAATATTGTATCTGTATGCCTTTGAAAAACAGTGAACTCATGTAAGACACCAAACCCTATGGCTCGAATCCTGAATAATACAAGTGGAAGGAAACCTATGGAAGGAGACTTTTCTGCTCTCTCTGTGCCTGCCTCTGAAAAATTTCTCTGGAAGGTCAAGGGAAGCTTCTGAACGGCAGGGGATGAGGCACTGGCGCTTGCAGGTTGAGGCATCCCTGCCCAGGTTAGGCATCAGGATACAAGAGAAGCCATGCTGTGTCAGACTAAGAGTCCACCTGCTCCAGCCTTTTGTCCATACAGTGGCCAACCAGCAGCCAGATGGCATCTGCGAGGGTTTTTCTCCATCCACAGTCAAGCCGCCTTGGTTTTGCTTCATCACTCGCACTTCCAGGGTGTATCAGGCAGCCATACGGGCTCTTTTGCACAGAAGGTGTTCAGGAGCTATCATGTCAGCTGCCTGGGTCACCTCTCTGTTCCAGAGATCAACCAGGGATTTGATAGGACCACCAGCCCTGTCAGTCAGAACTCTCCCCCTCCGCCAAGAGTTCTCCGGGCACTGTCTGGATCCATCAGCCTCCTGGAACACCCCATCCTAGTAGACCTTCCACCACTCAAAGGGGGGACTGGTGGGAGAGGCTGAACCCGACAGAAATGTTAAAAGCAGCACCCACATCTTCCCTGGCAAGAGGCCAATTCTGTGGTAGCTGAAAGCTTCAGGTTTTGTGACCACATCCAGTATGACCATGCTCAGGGGTCTCTTGTACCTGAGGATGAAAAAATAACCATTTTGTGTGCATAGGTTTGACTTCTTTTGTTTTTGCTTCGCACAACTCTATTCACGCATGCAGCATGTGGTGTCACAAAGCTGTTAGCTAGCAGTGGCGCTCTGTGTAGGACTACTGGCCTGGCATGTATCATTCACATGACTCTTCAGTATTGTGGGCTTTAGAATAGCCCCAGACAGCTTGTAAATAGGAAACAGTTATTAAAAAGAAAGAAAGAAAGCATCAACTAGGCAAGCTGAGCAGAAAAGTGTGACTGGGCCACTCAATAATAGTAGGAGAGAGAGAGAGAGACAAGAAGCCAACCTGACAGGGAAATGAAGGAGTGCTACAGTAGTTCTCTACCTTAATTTTTCCTCTCCTAATATTAACGAAGAAAGTAGAGAGACAAATTGGCAACTGTCCCTTTGTAGTCCTGGTTTGGTCAACCAGGAAAGTTATCCTACCTGGGAATAAAGAATTATCCAGGTTGTTGACTGGAACAAGGTATGGGAGAACTCCAACCGAGCACTCATTTGCTGCAATCATGTATCATCTTCAGTGCTCCCAGGCAGCTATAAATTAGGCATCAACAGAGCATGACTGTTAAATACAGAAGAAATGCATGCGTGTTTCCATGTTTCTTTACCTCTCCATCCTGTTTGCACATGCTTTTCTTCTGTAGGTGTCCTTCATACAAAACCTTGTATTCTGCGTGGAAAGAGCATATCGTGTGCCAGACTTCGGTGTGTGGGAAAGAGGAAGCAAATACAATAATGGCAGCACGGAATTGCATTCAAGGTAAGGGTGGGTGGCACTCCCTGTGTATTTTGTCTGTGCTCATCCCTAATTCCATTTGCAGATCAATTGGTAGGTTAAGCTGTTTATTGACCAAAAAACCACAGCAAAATTAATAACTGAATAAGTGTTTAAAACCATACTTGAAAGTATCTCTTTTGAAATGTCTTTTCTTCTCACAGTACACAATTTTGGATTTATTTTGAATTTTATATGTATTTTTATACATTTTTGAGCCAAGAACTGTTTTGAAACACTTCTGAAATACGACGTCTTGTGAATAACTTACTTCTGATTTGCCCATCAATCTGGAAAGTGCAGGTCAAGTCATACTGGAATTCACAGAGAATGAATTCCTGAAGTATCTCTAAATAAAGGCAACTTGGAAAAAAAAGTAGATTTTGCTTTCTTTTTGGGTGAAGCATCTCTAAGTGAATTGATTTAATGGTTGAAAATGGACTGTCTATGTTGTGCATGACACATGATAAACTAGTTCTCAGGTATATTACTTCCAAAGCTAATAAAAACTCAATACAGTAAAATAGAAGATGGCAGCCACAAAAGAGCTTTTAAAGAACAAGATGAACCCCTTAGTCAAACCAAACATTCTAAAATATCAGAGAATTTTGAAACCCTATACCCAATGCTGAAGAATTAATCATGATAGCAGCAGTTTTACTTTATACTTTATTTTAATTACTTTATATTTTATTATTTTGTACAGTTGAGAGAGTTTATACAAGCTTCGAAAGTCAAGCAGAAAAGTCCGTATCTTGCCTTATCTCAGATGGTGTGGGGCGCGGCAGAAGGGCTTTGATGAGGAACTTAATACCTTGATGAGTCTGGGTGGGAAGAGGGCCTGTTTATGGTCCCTAGTCCTAAGCGGCTTAAGGCACTGAACTTTAAAACCCACACCCTGAATTTGACCAAGCAGGTGGAGAGCCATGCAGATTCTTTAGGATTCCCAATATGCCTTTTCCCATTGAGTCACCTGCTGTCCTAGGGAACGAGCTGCACTTTATGGTCCATCTCCAGTGCCTCTCTGGACTAGATGCTGAGGAAGGTGAGCGTAAGCGTGCTGTTGCACTCGTGTTCCATCTGTGAGTTTCCTGAAGGCAGCCACTTGGTTGGTATGTGAGAAGAATGCTGGGCTAGGGAGGCCTCTGGTCTGATTCGGCATGGCTTGTCTTATGTTCCTGTGTTTCCTTCAAAGGGAGCCCTGCATCAAACACAATGTGCCAGTCTAACTAGGAGATTTTTAAAGCTGCTTTGATGGTGGCAGGAGAAACCCATGTAGTTACGATCTACATGGTGCTACCACAGAGTACCAGGGTAGCTGTTCTAGATAGAAGTACAGTTCTGGTCACTGCACCTGAAAGGGATATTGTAGGTTGGGAGAAGAGCAACTAAAATGACAAAGGTGCCCAAGCAGGTCGCTTTAAGGAAAGGTTACAATGCCAGGGACTGTTTGGCTTAGAGAAACGATGATGTAGAATATGGTTTTGAATAGGCGCTAGTCCAGATGGCTGCATGCTAACTCCAGTAACAGTGTGCCTATCTGCAGCAGTTGCTGGGGAACATGGGCAGGGACGGTGCTCTTGTGTCAGTGTCCTGCTTGTGGTTTTCCTATAAGCAGTTAGTTGGTCCGCATGCGAACAGAACGGTGGACTAGATAGATCTTGGTCTGATCTAGCTTGGGGGTTCTTACGTTCTTAGCATTTATGAACTTCATGGTTAATGTAATTTGAATGAAAGATGTGCATATACACTAGAGAATTGACCCAATCTATGTAACTGTGTAGAGAACATAGTCGAACTAATAGCATGCGTGAAATTGCATAGCTGATAGTGATATATGCATTTGAAGTCGTGTTCATTTCCACACTTTGTCTGATTTGAGTGCAAAATCTGGATTTTCTCAATACAGAATAGGAGTGTATCCTGCTTTCTTAATAGCTATCTCGGAAACAGAGGAATTGCTCACTTCAGCATGGGGTGGGGGTTGGGGGTAATGAGCCTTCTGAAGTTATTTTACTTCCCAAGGAGTGTTCATCTGAAGTATCAAGTTGTTAACCCCCATAGTTTTAACTACAACTGTGAATATCAGACAGTACTCCTTAATCGAGGAGTGTTCAACAAGTATGCCTTATGGTTCATGTAGCAGGATCATTAGAGACTCCTGGGTAATGCAAGACTTTCCCTGTCTGCTTGCTTTTTTGTTGAGAATACGTATATTCTTTGTAACCATGTTCTTTTTATTACCCTTATCCTCTTGAAATAAAATTCTTAAATTATATGTTACTTCTCTTTGTGCTCCATTAGCAGTGAAGTCAGTAGAACTGTGGCCTTTTAGATGACAACTGTAATAATTTCCCTGGGAAAATAGCTTACAAATACTGCAGACTAAAAGAGAAGGCACAATGACAGTTGTTATATATAAAATTTGCTGTATTGGCTCAGTGCATTTATTTCAGTATGTAGTAACATTAAGAAAGCCAGGTGGGTGCTTGTGTCTGCAATTTTATGTATTTGTAACTTCTCCTTGCAATAAAAATGATATACTTATATTAATTTTAGATGTTTCTTTTCATTGCTTTAGTACACATTAAAATTCTATTGTAACTTAAGAAACAGAGCAATTTCAGTAGACCTTAAACTATAATTTTTTAGTGTCAGGCTTCACTCTTTCATCTGAGTGGCTGCTTTCAGAGAAGGAGTCAAGGTCATAAACCAGAGTTTTCTCTTCTGGAGAAACTGTTTACTCACACAGTGCAAGCAAAGCACAAGATGCTCAGAAGACAGAGGATTAAAAAAAACTAATGGAGACACCATGGCCAACCCGTGGCCTGCTCACTGGGACAATGCTTCAGGCTGTGTTTTGCTTTCTCATATGCCTGAGTTGAGATAACCTTAAACTGCTATTGCACCTGAATCAGGAAAACCACCGTTTATAAAGGTAAAGGTAAAGGTTTCCCCTTGACATTAAGTCCAGTCATGCCTGACTCTAGGGGGCGGTGCTCATCTCCGTTTCCTGGCCGAGGGAGCCAGCGTTTGTCCGCAGACAGCCTCCGTGGCCATGTGGCCGACATGACTAAACACCGAAGTGCATGGAACGCTGTTACTTGCCCACCGAAGTGGCACCTTTTTCTCTACTTGCATTTGCATGCTTTCGAACTGCAAGGTTGGCAGGAGCTGGGACGGAGCAACGGGAACTCACCCCATTGTGCAGATTCGAACTGGCAACCTTTCGATCAACCAGCCCAGCAGCACAATGGTTTAAACCACTGCACCACCTCCAGTCCCCCACAGTTTATATTCAAAGCTAAATTGGAACCCACAGGGGCATCTGAGCCCAAGACCAAGCCCCAACACCCAAGTAATGCTTTGAGCCTGACATCTGATCCATTTAAGAGCACTGAGCCAGCTAACTTCTTGAAAACAGTAGGACTCTTTAGATACTTAATTTCTTCTTTAGTCTATAGCAATGGCACCGCAATACAGTTCTGCTTTACAGCTTTTGACATGCGGGATCTTTAAGAAAGAAGAAGACATGCAGATATGATAGAGGAAGATGTCCGTTAGCATGAGAAAAAGAGAATTCTGTTCTTTGTAAGGTGTGTTGCTGATACAGGGGACAGGGATTGTGGTGGATTGGAACACTATAGAACACCAATCTGCTGTTATGGGAGATTGCTACAAGAAATTCCAGTGTCTTTAAGGGCCATGCCAATATCTGAGTCAAGGGTCAGAAGTGGGGGAGAAGCCATTAAAAACAGGGAATTCTTGGAGATTAGTGCAAAGAAATGGGGAAACTCACAACCAGGTAGGAGCTTAAGCAGGTGTCCAAAGCAAGAGCAAGAGGATGAGATCAGGCCATCGCATTTATTATATATGTAATTAGTTCATATCCCACCTTTCTGTAAAAAATAAAATGGTGTTCACTTTCTATGCTCTCTGGCAGTTCCTCCCATTGACATTACTTGTAACTAGATTGCATTGCGCACAGGCACATAAAGTCTTCATAACATGTTGAGAAGCATGGCATGAAATCAGATAAGCTGTATCACCGATGCCACAGAGGAGGAGGCATGGAGCATCTAATCCAAATCAGAGGTGTTGTGACCTTCGTTGCTAGAAATGAAATAATGTAGAAGTGCTGAACAGTTCAGCTGGCTGAGCTCAGGAAAGCTCTCCCTGGAGATCCTAGTTCATTTCACCACATCTCTGCCCAACACAAATTTTTGAAAGCAGAATTACATTATTTCTTCCCTGTTGTTGGTTCTACCAAGCAAGAAGTCTTCTCTTCGGAGAGGACATCTGTCCAGGGACAGTATGAAAATTAAGTAGCTATATCTCTCATTGTGAAAACGCACAGCACTTTTCATTTCTTAGAGGTCAAGCTCAAATCCTCACAAAGTCAAAACCCTGTCTTTGAGATTCCTTCTGGAAAAATGGCTGATTGCATTTCTTGCAGACAGTGCAACTTTTACTGCTGAATTTCCAGTGAAAAAGATTTACTGGTCTGCAACCTTGCTCTAATTTTTGGAAAGCAAGCTTCATATAATCTCTCTAGAATTGCATGATTCTCTCCCATGTGTTTGCGCTCCTGAAATATTCATTTGTCCTGTAACCATTTTGATCAAGCTGTTTCCAAGCATCTGCCGAACACTTCTGCAAAAACATTTTTGACATCTCCCATCTGTGTTGCTGATAATCGTGGTGTCTCCAAAATGCAGCATCTTTGTACTCTGAGCTTTAAGAAGGCGCTGGAATCTTCCCCTTGTTCTCCTTTGTTCTGCATCTAATATGCTTCTGTCATGTTGTCTGTCCCCATTATGGTTATTTTGTTTGTTCATCTGCCTGACTGACTTTTTAGTGTAGTTTTCAGTCCCAAACACCTACATATGTTTTTTAGGCTGCTTAGCACTATTTTTAATGCTTAGCATCATTTTCAACGTTTCACACAGATTCATGGTTTGTGAACAAAGGAGAAAACAAATAAT